CACACATACGGATACATACACCAGCCCAAACCCCATGATGAAGCAGTCTGAGGCTGAAAATAATGGCCAACATCATCAGACGATGCTAGCCGATGCTTCACAAGACAAGAGGGCGAGGCTTCTTGGTGTAATTGTGGGCCAGGATGTCATATCCCGCACGCGCACGCGTTCCTCCAGAAAGATCCCGAGCCGACAAAGTCAGCCCGTCTAGTGGATAACGTACCTAGGTGAGCCGATGGAGCCATTCATATGGGAGCAATCGGACATCCTGGCAGTCGCTCGAAACAGTTGATGAACATGTTGCCAATGCTGGCCACAAACCCCGTTGACCAAAGTCCCGATGCGAATTGGTTTGAGACGTGCAGAACGCATGGTATCCGGATGCTGCATTGCATTTCCAGTCCTGGCCTCTTTATCCATCTCTCGACCTCGTGGGCGGCCTTGTTCGGAGCGCTCCGGCTGTCCCTTTTTTTGCTCAAAGGCAATCGATGTCCAAGATCTTGGTAGGGGCGAGTCATCGATTTGCGCTGCCGATCGGGTCGGCTCAGACACTTGCCAAAAGGTCAATTGACCCCGTCTGCTTGACTCGCGACGAACGTGACCGAATGCCTTGCCGGCTTGGCCAGACAAACTGCGGCGGTCTTTTTCGCATATTCACAGTGACAACTGACTTGACGGGATTGACCGGATTCACCGCCGCACAAGATGGAATCCCAAGTCTCCATGAGGATGCGTCTTAGCCGGGAAAAGCAAATTGACGAGTGGAGTGAGGAATCGAGACGGCGGAAACTTCCTCTCCGCTCGCCGTGGACGGAGAGGCAAAGCCCTGCAAGATGCAGCTCGGTGTAGCGTGATGGGATGGATGATGACTTGCCAGGCGCAGGAGCTGGCGCAAGAAGATACTGCGTCTACGACTGCGGTTAGTATCCGCAGACAAGGTACAGATACCTTTTGGATCTTGGTCCCTGTTCTAGTCGAGGAGGTACTTGGATACTTTGAAAAGTTGAAATGCTCTGCACGCGATGGGCGGAAACTGTAGCACACAAAGTAGCCACCGGGGGAGTCAGCGGCCCCAGCAGTTCCCCATGTGAAAACATCAGTGACCAGTGACCAGACTGCCAGAGGCTCCAGACGCGGAGTCTAGAAAGGCACAGGTGACAGGGTGGTGCTCGTCAGTCCTTCAGAGTCCGGTGCCAAGTGGAGGGAAGAGACATGTTGACTAGGTAGGTGGGATTATGACTCTGGCGGTTGATGAAAGCAGCAGATGCAGACAGATGAGATGTCAGGTCCTCCAAAGAACAACGTGTCTGGGCGTTATCAGAAAGTACGGTACCCAAAGACGTTCATTGGATCATGACAATATGGAAGGTATGCACAATAGAAGGGATGGAAGGAACTCACTGTCTGTCTTGCCGTCCGTCTTCCAATGTCTGATCTGATGGACAGGGCAGGGGCCCAAGGGGTGCAGTGCAAGTCTGTAGTGCTGCACTGCTGCAGGTGGGCAAGTGGTACGGAGCCCAGTACACGAGGTGCTGCGTAGAAAACAGACGGCACGGGATTGATCAAGAGCGTTACGTAGGCCCTAATATCCGTGCCAACCCTGAGCCCTGCCCGGTTGTCCCGAAAGGGCTTGGTGTCATGGTTCTCCCCGATGAGGACCCGCCCAGGTGGAGAGCTCACTCATCCTCTATTGATAGATTTCCCCCAGTAATTTTGATAATGGAACCCTTCACCATAGCAATTACGCACCACGCAATTCCTCGACCCAAAAGCATGTCGCTCAAAATCACATTGGGTCGTGGCACTAGAGACAAGTCCAAGGTACCCTGCCTTCCTGTTTGTACCTTGGGGCGTTTAGCGCCGCGGTACTTGTCTGCGCTAACCAGACCTTAGTAAGGTTAAGTACACCATCTCCATTCTAGTGGTTTAGATACGTACCCATCACCAGCGCACGCTTTAGAAAGAAGTATCTTGGGCAGTACGTACTCCTTACTCTTGTCGGCGGAGAGGCCCCACACCATCCTCCCTCACCCTGCATCTGATTGCTGCATCTCTGATTCCACGTCGTCTCCTCCACTTGCACCAACACTGCAGGCGGAATTTGACCACACTTCTTCCTCTGCTCTTGGTCTCGACTATCATCAACTCGTCCACTCATTGGCGCGCACTACTCCAGACACTTTCAACTTCAGATGACAGCCCGCCGTGTGTGTGTGTGTGTGTGTGTGTTTGCTGCTCTGCCAGTCGCAGGATGACGAAAGCCTGCCCTGCTACCCCCCCTCCGTTTAAGCCTCGTCAAACATATCCCGGCAACCCTAATATGTTGACTGTCGATGGACCCGTGGCATGAAGCTTGAAATCTGCCTTACCTGACGGGGCATCTGGGGCAAGCTGAACAAAAGCAAACGCGTCCTTATTCACATTGCTCCATCACTTATAGGGCCATGACGAGTTCACGTTGTTTCAACTTTCAACACGCCGGCGCCAACGACCGGGGCTAACATGGAAACATGGTAAACTTCAACCGACGATGCTGATGCCATTACTCTATTTGTTGTAAGTCTGATGGGAGAAACGTCACGTTGAAACACTCCTTACTCTAATCACCAGAATACGAGCCTATGAAATTGGCCCATCACCTAAGCATACACACAGTAACCATGTGGAGGAAGAGAAGAATGAGGCATCACGGAGCCACTGGCGCGCAAGTCCACACCTCTAGGTTCCGAGATCCATACTTCTTTCTATACCGCTCAACCGGTCAACCCTCGTCTATCCGCCTCGGCCCTCACATCCGACACTTCTGGAGTCTGGAGTCTGGAGTCTGGGATCAGCAAGACTGCGTTGTCGACCTCGGCCCACGAGGAGCGAAGAGATAACGGCTCTGCATGTCGTTGACACATTCCAGGAACGGCACTCTCCGAAGGTCGTAGACGCATATGCACTGCACTGCCCGCAAGCGAGGCTGGCGGGATCCGTCAAGAACCACATGAGCGGCCTCCAGAGGCTTTTCTTTTGGCCGGCCTCCACGGTCGAGAAGCAGTACTATGGAGTGTTTACTGACGTTTGTCTAGTGTCCACGGCAACATATCCCTTCAGAGATATTGCGTGGGGAGCGCGTTGCGCGTCTCCTAGACGAGACATACGGCATGCCAGGGTCTCTCCGCCGGCTCTAGCACACTAGGCGACTACTACCTCTTTTTTACTTTTTCAACCCCATATTAAGCACCAGCCACACTTTCCTACCACGTAAGACTGGCACACCGTGGATCGTGACCCGGAGCTGATGGCCGAAAACGGCACTCTGGCTCCTATGCTTAGTTCATGCGGCACAAACTTCTCCTCTCTTTGAGGCTCTTCCAGCAAGGCTTGGACTTGTTCAAGGACGGGTTACCTTTCCAACTCACCTTACGTGTGCGATGGTGGCGGCGGGCGGCGCGGAACTCGGCTGGACGCATTAGAGTCCATGATTCCCAGAAAGATGATCAGCATCATCAGAACCAGCACCAGCACCTTTGCTGTCTGACGTCTGTTCGCAAGCGCGCAGGACGAACCTGTCTCGACTCTCGAGGTCTTCCCTGCTTGCTTTTCTCCGTCTCTACTCTCCGTCACTCCGTGTGAGCAAAGTATGCAAAGACGGACACTTGCGTACGTCTCATCTCGGAGGTTGTCGCATCTGTCATCTGTCCCTTTTTTTCACCCCCTCGTTGGCTCCTTCACTAGCGTTCCTGCTAGAACCCACCAATTGGTTTTCCTCTGGTCATGTTTCGGTCGCCCATGTCCAAAGCCTTGGCAAAAGGCTTTTTGGTGGAACTTGGCCCCTTAAAATCGAAAACCCCTTCCTTAGTCGCGGATAAGACAGTGGCCGCTGCGGCTAAATCCTTGTCTGTTCCCATTCCTCTGCGTTGCCAAGTCTGTCCTCATTTACACTAGTGCTCAAATTCGGTGAGCAGGATTGGGACCTGATAATCTCCTGCTTAGGCCCGTCGCCTATCCCCGTCCGTCCGTCCTTTGGCTCTTGGGATGTGCCATCCAGTGTTCCTGGCGGCCTTCACGCACCATCACTGCGACTCCACGCGTCCGTCTCTCCAAGATATCACCAGGTAGTGAGTGTACACACAGACTACAGGAAGGTAGCTGTTGTCGTTCTCGAGAGCTGCGACGTCAGGTCCAGACTTTGCATCGGTCATCCTTCATACTCATCCGCGACTTGCTGTTCCCCCGCTATCGTTCTTTGTCCCTCGTCTGCGGCGACTCTCTACTGGTCATCTATTCTTTTCCAAGTTCTCACAGTCATACCGACGAATCATTGTGTTTGACATTGTTAAAAAAGAAGAAGCCCCATGTTTCCCCACAGAATCCAATCAACGACGGGCTACCGAGACAGTAAAGCTTAAACCTTCTGCCGTCTCCCTTCTCTCTGCAAAGTGCTAGGTAGTAGCAGTGAACCACGCCCACGCCCGCCTATACCTACCTCCCTTTTGATGCAACCACGTTGAACGATCGACGCGGCAGATACGCCTGGACTCGACCGTTTCATCGATCGGGCTCGTCCTTTTCAAGCAGGGGGAGTAGCCGCTCTTCACTGCTCTCCGACTTCTTGGAACGGAATTCCAGACGACTCCGTTTACCCGGCTTGCAAAACTGCGCCGTGACTTCTCTAGAAGACTCCTCCAGAAGGGGCTCCATAACCTTCCAGAGATCCCGAGCCGACGGGCAGACAAACTGCATCGTCAGACTCGTCAGAACACGGAGGCTCTCGACACAATCCAGTGATGGATAGCAACACAAGGCATGTAGCGGAGGAAACAACGCGGGCGAGGACGTTGGGAAACGTCCGTTTAAGGCATCCAGAAACGAACGAGATCATATTGATTCCATCGCCATCAGCAGATCCGAACGACCCCTTAAACTGGTAGGTACTGACTGGCGACCTAGATCGTCAAAAAAGCCAGGGATTTTCAGCTGACTCGCTTAGGCCGCAATGGTACAAGTACTACATGGCGGGGTTGATCTGCTTCGCCATGATGATGTGCAACTTTCTGGCAGCGGGTATGCTCGAATCCATCGTCCCCAGAGTATCTTTGTCGACGACTGGCTAACGGAGTCGTTGTTGCAGGGCCCTCGATTGCGTTGCTGGATACGGCCCTGGAGTTCTTCCCCGCGGCTGCTACCGATACTGATGTCCTCAGTCTCGCGATCGCCAGGACTGCTTACTTCTTCACGACGACCGCCCTGCTCCAGGGCGTGGGCAACTTCTTCTGGGTGCCGCTCGCTAACAAGTTTGGCCGGCGGCCAGTCTACGTTGCGAGCTACTCCATCTACTTTGCATGCACAATATGGCTCATCGTTGATCACTCGTACGGTGGCTTCTTGGCCGGCCGGATCCTGATGGGATTTGGCGCTGGAGCCGCGGAGACGATTGCGCCGATTTCCATCGCTGATGTCTTCTTTTTGCACGAAAGAGGTACCGTCATGGCGTGAGTGCTTGTTCTGGCAGAGAAGCAGGTTGGCAGATCGCTAACACCAGGATTGCAGCCTCTATACCGCGTTCCTTTCTGCGGGCGTTGGCTTTGGCGTGGTTATTTCAGGGTAAGTGATGAAAAGGCATCCCAGAGCGTGCCGGAAATCTCTAACCGTCGTGTTTTCTGGCAGTCTCATCACCATCAACCATGACTGGAGAGTCATCTACCAGGTTTCTGCTGCCTTGGTCGGCGTTGTGCTCTTGCTGGCATTCTTCACCTTCCCCGAGACCGCCTACGAGAGAGACGAAGCGAGCGCCTGGAACCGCCTGGGGTCGATAGACGGGAGCAAACCCGGATCGATGAGGTCGGAAGGCGAGCTGCCCGCTCGCCCGCTAGGGACTTCGACGACGAGACGCTCAAAGCAATCATACCTTTCTTCGCTGAAAATCTTCAACAAGACGCTGACGCAGGAGAGCCTGTTGAAGCTGGCGCTGCGGCCCCTGGGCCTGATCCTCTTGCCGCCGGTCCTCTGGGCGGCGCTGGTGCAGGCTGTGACGGTCGGTTTCCTCGTCGCTGTGTCCTCGAATGCCGGTTCCGCGTTTTACTCCGCATACGGGTTCGACTCGTGGCAGATTGGCCTCTGCTTCATTGCTGGCATCCTCGGGGCGCTGCTCGGAATTCCGGCCGGTGGGCATCTTGGCGACATGATTGCAGATTGGTTTACCAGACGAAACGGCGGGATGCGGGATCCGGAGATGCGTCTTCCTAGCATGGCCATCAGTATGGTCACGACGCCGTTGGCCCTCGTCCTCTACGGTGTCGGCATCGATAGCCAGCTGCACTGGATCTGTCCCACCATCGGTCTTGGACTTCGTAAGTTGGCCTCCTTCCCCCTCCCACACCTCCTTGCTCTTTGTCGAAACGACGGTGTTTCTGATCATCCCATCTACAGTTACCTTTTCCATCTCCCAAGGAACGAATATCTGTCTCGTGTACGTGATTGATGCCTACCGGCCCGTCGCCGGCGAGATCACCCTGGCCGTCATGGGCTTCAAGTGTAAGTGGGCGTCCGACTCTTGGCATCCCCCTCCCTCGTCCCAAAACATTTCGTATTTGCCCGGCCTATGAAAGCTGACTTTTGGTCCTCTGTTGTAGCACTCTTCGGCTTCCTGTTGTCATTTTACACCAATACCTGGGTCGAGAAGGCCGGGTACGACAATGCCTTTGGGGCCATGGCGGGAATCGCATCTGCCGTCTTGGTCCTGTGGGTGCCGTTATTCGTCTGGGGCAAGGCGATACGACACGAGTCGTGGAAGTGGCCGATCATCCGGTATATCCATTGGAACGAAGACAGGGAGGTAGGGGAATAAGAAAAGGACGATGGAGAGAAAAGAGAGTGAGAGAGAAAGAGAAGAGACGGGACGAGGTTGTAGTTTTCTTATACCATCCCACACCGATACCTTTTTCCCATGCAGCACACGTATAGCAAGGCGTTTCGGTACTTATAACGGAATTGAAGTTTTTTTATGTTATGACGGGAAAAGGGAAGAGCACAGCAAAATAAGAAGAAGGGCAGCAGCGGTTTTACAAGCTTTAAGGTTCCCTTTTCCCATTATTTTTTCTGATTCTGCCTGGTCTTGCTTTGGCCTCCCCCCGTTCGTTGCGCCAATACGCAAGCCCAGGCTGCCCAGCCCACCTTGGCCCCCTTCGGGATGTGGGAGGGGAGGGACCCCGTTCTCGACACCATGACCCAGACGGCGGGGTGGGGGGGGGGTACACACAGGCGCAGACGGATTAACAACATCTCTCACCCAATCTCAGCTCTGGGCAGCTCGCAACAGCCCCGTTCCTGGGCCCCTTGAACAGACCATTTGATACAGATTTTGGTCATTTTTTTCTTGTGTTTTCCTTGGAAATACTTGCTCAGCTCTACTCTAGCAGCTTAGCACGCTTGGCCAAGGGTGTTATTTTCTGCCCTTTTGGACCCTGAGTCAATGATGAGTAAAGGTTTATCATCCCTCCCTTGTTTGCGTGACTGGGCATGGCAGCATGCTGGTGGTGGGCTACCCAGGCGTGCCAGACCTATACGCGCTCTCTGTCTCTCTTTCTCTCTCTTCCTTTCTCTCTTACGGATAAAAAGGCATCCCATATCCATGCTCCGTCCAGATACAGATGATAAGCCAGCCCCCTTTGCTCAAATACTGAGCCCCCCGTCAATGACGGCGTTAGCACCGGTGACGCTCCTGCTCCTGGCGAAGCACAGCACCTGGTCGGCCACGTCGTCGACCGTGGCGAGGCGCTTGAGGGGCGTCCTGTCGCGGGCGGCCTGTTGCTTTTCTTGCGGGAATTGTAGGCCCCAGTCCTATTACGAGCGGAAACGCATATGGCCAGTGAGCATGTGCTAGTTTTTTTTTTTTTTTTTTTGATCTTTTCTTTACCGGATATGTCTTGCCGTGGATATGGGTATCGTTCGGATGGGGGATACAGACGAGGGTTGTGTAAGGGGGGGAGGAGAAGGGAAGGCGGTGGGGGGGAACATTGTGTGTAACATACCGTCAACATGAGGCCCGGAGAGACGCTGTTTACTCTCACTTTCGGGCCTGCTGCTAATGCGAGGCCTTTTACGAGGTGGATCTGGGCTGCTTTCGTCACGGCGTAGGCCTGTGTTGTTTTGGCGTTCGTGTTAGAAGAGTCTGCCTTGCTTGCTTGCTGAGCCTATACGATATGTGCAGGAGACGGGGTTGTTGATGAGACTGCAAAAGAAAAAGGCATTACCAGCGAGCTCCCGCTAACTTTAACACCGGCCAACGACGCCGTCGTAATAAAGGCGCCCTCGGTCTCGTCGAGGTACGGCCGCGCGGCGTGCATGAGAAACAGGTGCGACTTGACGTTCATGTTGAAGCAGCGGTCCCAGTCGTCCTCGTCGACGTTGTCGTCGAGGTCCTGGATGTTGCGGAGTCTCGTCCAGCCGCCGTTGGAGAAGAGGACGTCGAGGCGGCCGCCGAGCGCGTCGGCGGCTTGTTTGACGAGGGCGGTTGTTTCGGTGCGGGAGGAGAGGTCTGCTTTGATGGCTTTGAAGTGCTGCTTCTGCTGCTGCTGGCTTCCTGCTCCTTCTGTGGGGGGAGAAGAAGCTGGTGAGAGGGACTCGAGTTCCTTGACGAGGGCTTCTGCGCGGTCGCTGTTGTTTGCGTAGTTTATGACGACGCTGTAGCCGTTGCGGGCGAAGAGTTTGGCTGTTGCGGCGCCGAGGCCTGCGCTGCCTGCTGTGATGAGGGCGGTTGGGATTGGAGACATTGTTTTGAGAGTTCTTTTCCGGTTCTTTTTCCCTTCCCTTGTTCCTGTGGTTGTTTCGACCGATAATGAAGAGGGCGGGGTAGTACGGTGTGAGTGCCAGTGAGAGCGGACTTGTTCGGTCCCGATGAGATTTGTGTTGTAGGTTCTCCGGAGCTTTGTATCGGAATTCCGGTGTCGGGGCGGGGTAGGTCGGGACCAGATTGGGGCCGGCACGCACCCAAGGAGCCGAAGAAAGGGCGGGGTAGCTCACGCGGGAGTACCTTACGCGGGTGCCGAGGGTTCCATGTGGGTTCGCGCGAGCAGTAGGTTTGGATCTTGGTGTCCGTTTACCATGGATAAGATCCGATGGGATGAATAACAGCAAGGTGAGGCTTGGAGGGATCTTTAGTTATATTGATATGGCCAATGAGTTGGGTTGAGTTCAACTCATCCTATGTTTGCTGTATTCGTAACACGATCAGCTACTGAGTGCGATGGACGGCACATGGGAACCAGAATCGGAATTGGAGCTGGAACAAGAAGGGCCGGTACTATATGCGGCAGATGCATCAATTACAGAGGAGAGATGCTATGACTTTGACTCGATGTCACTTGGATGTATCTACTCAATGACAGACATATTGGTGCAGGAAGTTGTGGTAAACTAGAAGTCACAGCAGCAGCAGCATCAGCAGCAGCAGTAAGAAAGCCAACGGACCCACCCCCACCTGAGCCGATCTTTTGCTCGCTTCTCCCCCTCCTTGATCGGAAATACTCCCCGACACATCCTTACCGAGAAGTCTGTTTTTACGACATACCACTCGGTTCCAACTCATGTTGAGAATGTTTATTGCAACCTTTCACTAAACGACGGCTGACACCTTCCCCTTGCAAGCTTCGATCTACCGCCTGCTCGAAGCCGGCATACCGTTGGGACCTTGTGCGTGCATGAGCCCAGCTGTGGATTAGTTTCAAGTCTTGTACAAAGTTGCACGGCAAAATGTTTCTATTGTTCTCATGGCAGATGGATACAGAGGGAACAGGGGGGTACTAGGTGAACCACATAGTATGGTCGATGTGACTAAATGACTTTCCGCGTATAACTTGTCTCCTCCCCCCCCCGCCATGCTTCCGGCCTTCCGCCCGCCGGCAGAAAATGTGGGGGGGGGGGGGGGGGGAAGGATGATGGGGAGGAGCAAACCGCCCAGCCAGTGGTCACCTTCGGCATGGCTTTTTTTTTGATGAGTTAGGGGGCATGATGACCTATACTAGTTCCTTTTCCAATTCTCGCCCTGTGAACGCTCGGCGACTTGCAAGAGTCCGGGGTTGCCGTGGTAGTTTTCGATGGTGGGTGGTTGCAATGGGATGGGGGGAGGCAATGGAGACAAGGGAGGGAGGGGCCGAGCTGTCGAGCCCAGCAGGCCGACGATCGACGCGGTGGCGTAGCGTCGAAGTCCGGGGGCGGGAAGCGTTTGAGATGACGGGCTGTAATGTAAGTCTTACGGTATCATTTCTTCCCCGTCAACCAACGGTTATATCTCGTCTCTTTTTTTTTTTCTCTTAACCCATAGCCTTGGCCATTTTCTGTCTCGACGCCGCTCTCCTTTGCTCTCTCTCACATCATTGCTTGCAGCTCTGACATTCCTAAATAATATTCTCATCCACAACTGTGAGAGTCGAGCAAAGGTCTTGTTTCACAATCTAACCAGAACAACGCACTCTCTTTTTCCTTTGCACACGTCGAGCCCGGCACCATGTTGGTCAACGGAGAGGCTCAGCGCCCTAACGGCGTGTACTCGAGTCCCATGGTCCACGAGCATCCCCGACCACTCAAGATTGCCATTGTAGGCGCCGGCATTGGTGGTTTAAGCACAGCTATAGCACTGCGCCGGCAAGGACACCAAGTTGACGTAGGAAGCTCCCCCCTCCCCGTAGCCCCATCCCCCTCATCTCACTTGTGTACTCACGCTTCCATCTCATCGTAGTTGTATGAGCAAACAAGGCTCGCCAACGAGACCGGTGCCGCCGTTCACCTGGCGCCCAACTCCAACGGCCTCTTGCGAAGATGGGGCATCTACGCCGAGACGTTCGGCGCCAACCCTGCGCACCACTTCAAGGAGAGAGACCTGCAAAACCAAGGCGGCTTCGACGTCGACATCACAAAGTCCCAGGGCCAATGGCAGCATCCCTGGCAGCTCGTCCACCGCGCCTACCTTCACAACGAGATCCGCAACGTCGCCACCGCGGAGGACGGGGGGGTCACCACGCCGGCGAAGCTTCATGTCGCGTCCAAGGTTGTCGGCGCGGACCCCGAGAAGGGCGAGTTATCGCTGGAGGACGGGACGACCGTCCAGGCGGATGTCATCCTCGGTGCTGACGGTATCTATGTGCGTACACGATGGGTTTACAAAAAGTGTTATTGTTTGTTTCGTACTGACCTTTTCCAAATAGTCCAAGGTCAGGAGATTCGTAACCGGCACCGACTACAAACTTTTCCGGTCGGGCAAGGCGGCGTTCCGTTTCCTCATCCCCCGCGCCGCGGCGCTCGAGGATCCCGTTACTGCACCTTTGGTCGACAGGGAGAACTCTCTGGGTATTTGGTTTAGTACAGACAGGCGCATCGTGATTTACCCGTGCAACAATAACCAGCTTCTCAACTTTGTTTGCATCCACCCCGATACCGAGTCTCAAGCAAATGCAAGCGACGGTATGTCTCTTCACGACTCATCATACAGCGGGAAACTGACGAAACATTAGAATGGAATAAGAAGGGTTCTATTGAACAACTACTCAAGGTTTACCAAGACTTTGATCCTGCCCTATTGCAGTTGATCAAGAAGGTTCACCCCGATGAAGTCAATGTCTGGCAATTGTTGGATATGGAGGCCATGCCGACGTGGGTGAATGGCAAGCTCGCCCTTCTGGGAGACGCCGCGCATCCTTTCACACCTCGTAAGTCTATTCCGACAAGACCCCACCTCGAGACTAACAAACCCGTAGATCAGGGGCAAGGCGCAGGTCAGGCGATGGAAGACGGGGCAGCGTTGGCGGTCGTTCTACCAAAGGGGACATCTCCCGACGAGGTCCCTGAACGTTTACGTCTGTACGAAAAGATCCGCATGGAGCGCGCGCACAAGATACAAGAGTTCTCTCGTCAAGCCGGCAAGGACAGGACACCAGGCCAACCACCTGCCATCCAAAGTTCGTGAAAGGCTCCCCCACTCACACCCCTGGCAGACCACTAACACGACGAAACAGTGATGAACTACACAAACTACAACTTTGGCCACGACGAACACGACCACGCCACAAAGATCTTCAACAAGTACCTCTGGTCCAAGAAGCAGGATATGTACTGGCGCATGCCCATCGGCTTCGGTCCCTTCCCGGGTCCCCGACAAGACTTCTTCGGCCGACGACAGCCCTCCGAGCTCGAGCGCACCTTCAAGACAATGTCGGTCAAATTCCTCACGTCGCGCACCCTCCTCGAGAGCATCCTCCCCACGGACTCGTTCCGCTTCAAGGACCCCGGCACCGTCTGCGCCGCCTCGCTCTCCGTCACCCAGCTCAACAACATGTCCTGGCTCGGCGGCGGCGGCTACAACCACCTGGGCCTGTACATCCACGGCATCGAGTACGTCAAGCGCGACGGCGCCGCGATCAACGGCACCCACCTGTCGGTGCTCTTCGAGTCCCTGACGGACCCCATCGTCTCCGGGCGCGAGGAGCTCGGCATGCCGAAGCTGTTTTGCGACATTGACCTCGAGCACCACGCCACGGCGGCGCGCGTCCGCGCCTCGTGGCGGGGCGCCACGTTTGCCGACATTTCGCTCAAGAACTTGCGCCGCGACGAGCCCGAGACGGAGCACGGTACCATTGGTGGCGAGGCGGACTACGGGATCCTGACGTACCGGTATATCCCTTCCGTCGGGCAGCCGGGCAAGGCTGATGCCGAGTACGCGTGTGTTGTGCCGCATGAGGAGGAGGCCAAGGACGTGCCGGCTACGGTGCATGCCGTGTCGAGGGCGTCTACGGCTGATGTGTCGGTTAAGATGGATGGTCATGATTGGGAGAAGCTGCCGACGTTGCATCACGTTGCCAAGTTCTTGGCTGAGATGCCCATCTATGAGGTTGTGGGCGCAAAGGTAGTGGAGGGAACGGGCGTGCCGAATGTTTCTGCGGCTCGGAGGATAGAATAGGGACGACAGGTCCAAAGTTCTAGGGTCAAGGAGGAGAGATTGTCACATCATCAGATAGTTAGCTTCTCATGGTTGAACGCATTGTGTACATTTTTCTTTTCTCATAGTGGCCTTCAGGCTTTAGGCCTGATGAATACCCAACATTGTATTTTGATTTTGATCACCAAAGCCCGTAAGAAATTGAAAGTGCCCTAAACTAAGATGTGACCATGAGTATCTTTTCTGCAATCCGACTTCCAAGACTTCATACCCTGTCCTGTTTGTTCTCGAACTCATCGAATTCAATTCTTTCACGCCGACTTCCATCAGCCCTCCCCTCCGTTTGCCCGGCTCTTACAGTCAGTCGCCCGTGAGCCCGAACCCGAAATCTCAGATCAACGATGCCTACCCGAGATGGTGTCAACGATGAACGATGACATCCCAGAGATCATGTGCAAAGGCAAACCTTTAGCCCAGTTTCTGTGGCCTTGTTCGCATCAGGTCCATACTTGGGTACTCAGGTAATGCAACCAACACGGGTAAAGAATACAGTTTCATAGCGTCCCCCGAGCTGTCCTCCCGTCCCCGCACAACCCACCTCCTCTTGCGTACCGGCCCCACCTCCACTTTCCGGCCACTTGCTCCGGATGGCTGTCAACTGCCTGAACAAGCTATATGACGTCGGATGCCGACCCGGCAACTACTTCAAACATGGTCTCGAAGAGGGGGGATGGCGGGGAACGGATGATTGACAGGATGTTACTGAATGTACTTGGGATTATTTGTAAGCTCGATGAAGATGTCGAGGGGAGTAGAAGACTGCCCGTTCTTCTTCTCGGAAGCTTGCTCGTCTCAACTTTCTTCATCACATACCTTAGCTCTCCCACAAACTCTGCCTAGGCTATTTATACTTTACATCTCAAGAGAAAGCAAAAGCTGCACCATACAAAGACATTTCAACACCGCAAAACCCTCTATCCGTCGTACAAACCTACATTGAACAAGACACAGCACACACATCTCAACAATGGCATCCCAACCAACACCCAGCGACCTCCGCCGCCCCCACCGCTTCATCACAGACCACGACCCCTCAGGCAAAGCAATCTTCAACACCGCCGTCGACACCGAAATCCCACAACAAACCGTCGGCGGCGGCGCCAAATTCTACCTAGGCTACACCACAGAACAAACCCCCGTCTCCCTGACGGCCAACGCAGACGTGACAGCCTACGCCCAGCGCCTGGCCAACCCGCCGGGAATCGTGATCCCCGGCGGCAGCGTCGTGCGCATCGTCGACATGGCGCCCGGTTCGCTGAGTCCCATGCACCGGACCGTCAGCCTCGATTACGGGGTGGTGCTCGAGGGCGAGATCGATTTGGTGCTGGATTCGGGCGAGACGAGGAGGATGCGGAGGGGGGACGTGAGTGTGCAGAGGGGTACGATGCACGCTTGGAAGAATGTGAGCGAGACGGAGTGGGGGAGGATGTTGTATGTGCTGCAGGAGGCGGAGCCGATCGAGGTTGCTGGAGAGGTGTTGAAGGAGGATTATGGGGTTGGGATGGAGGATGTGAAGCCTTCTTCCAAGTGAGGAGGCAGAGTTGGTACTGTATGTCTCTTGAGAACGCTGATGGAGTGAATATCCTGGCGTTTTCTCGAAGTACATGATGTCCATTGCATTGTCGGATATTAGGACCTCATGAGCTTGGGACTTGGGGACAGCTAGATGAGACTGGTCAAGAGCAAGTCACTAGAGCATCGGTTCTCTCGCAGTTTTATTTGGAAGTAGTTCGGCATTCAGCATTTGCCGTCTGATACTTGACAACAATTGAGAAGCCAAGAACAAGATGTGCATGTTAAGAGCACCGGTTGTCTGCACACCCCGTTCTGGGCTTCAAGGTGAACTGCCTCTCTCAGTGCTTAAGGCGCACCCGTGGACCCCACATGCCCGGAGCCGGAGCGGGACGGCGAAAAGAGCCACCGTAGCCGAGAAATTTTCAGTGGACCCCGACCGCAGTGTGGCTGGCGCGCGCATCATCAGTTGACCACTTGCTTGCACGTACCGTTGTAAGCTCTTTAAAATCCCAAATACCAAAAAAAATAAAATTTACATTCGTTCCCTTCGCCAGGCACCCATTGGAGCTCAACACACCTCTCCGCGAGCTCCAAATCCCTCGATCAAATCCTCCGAACCACCACCCTCTCTATAGGCGACTTTGCAACAACTCTGACATTCCCGGGCCGAAAGCCCTCCCGCTGCCCAAGATGATGCACCCTTCGCGACAAGCCTACGTCGAGGAGGCGATGGATGAGGACAGAGGCATTGCGCTGGAGGACATCCCCGTCGACCACGACTACGAGATCCCCTCAGCCTTCGCCGGTGCCGCGCCCGAAAAGACGTCCGCCGTCCTGGCGCAGATGGAGAGGAAGAAGCTGGCGGCGAGCATCGCGGTGCCTACGGACGACAACCGGGTGCGCACGAAGCTCAGGGAGATGGGCGAGCCGGTCACGCTCTTTGGCGAGGGCAAGCCCGAACGCAGAGACCGCCTGCGGAACCTGTTGGTCATTCAGCAGGAAATGGCGGGCATCGAGAACGGCGACATTACCATGGAGGACGCCGAGGACGAGGACAAGGACGAGGACGAGCAGGACGAGGAGTTTTACACACCCGGCGGCCAGGCCCTGTTGCAGGCGCGCATTGATATCGCAAAGTATTCCCTGCCGAGGGCGCGGAGGCGAGTGCAGTTTCAAAAGGCCGAGTCTACGATCCCCTTGCGCACGCACGTCAAATTCCGGAAACAGATCAAGGAGAAGCTGGAGGGTTTCGAGCTTCAGGGCAGTCAGACGGCCGGTGACAGACACGTCAGCATGACGAGGTTATCACCAAACGGAGAGGTCGTTGCCGCGGGGAACTGGGGTGGAGGGCTCAAGCTCATCGAGATCCCGAGCATGGAGGCCAAGATGAACCTCCGAGGACACACACAGAAGATTAGCGGTATCTCATGGTACCCAGGGTCCACGCTACCCGAGGGCAACGTATCACCCGACACGGTGAACCTTGCGTCCGGCGGAGCTGAGGGCTTGGTCCACCTGTGGTCTTTGAACAAAGATACCCCCCTTTCGACCCTGACGGGCCACGGCGGCAGGGTATCCCGCGTCGAGTTCCACCCTTCCGGCCGGTATCTCGCATCGGCCTCAGACGACACGACATGGAGGCTCTGGGACGTGGAAACGACGGCAGAGCTGCTGCTGCAAGAGGGCCACTCCAGGGGCGTGTACACGGTCAGCTTCAACGCCGACGGGTCCCTCCTGGCCAGCGCGGGCCTGGACAGCATCGGCCGCATCTGGGATCTGCGGTCCGGCAGGACGGTCATGATCCTCGACGAGCACATCCAGCCCATCTACGCGCTCGACTGGGGCTCCGACGGCCACAGGGTGCTCTCGGGATCGGCCGACGGCTGGGTGAAGTGCTGGGACGTGCGCAAGGTGCAGCGGACGGCGAACCTCGGCGCGCACGCCAAGGCCGTCTCGGACGTGCGGTGGTTCCGGGGCCTGGACGACCCCATTGACGGCCACCCGCCCGGCGCCGACGAAAAGGGCGCGCAGCAGCCCAAGAAGGCGGGGACGTTTTTCGTTTCTGGCGGGTTCGACGCAAAGATTAAAATCTTCTCGGCCGATAACTGGGGCTTGGTGCAGACGCTCAGCGGGCACTCTGGGCCGGTTGCCAGTGTTGATGTGAGCAGGGACGGCAAGTGGATCGTTAGTGGTGGTCATGACCGGACGGTCAAGCTCTGGGGCCGGAATGATGGCGAGGGAGTGTAAGGGAGATGTTTTGGTTTTAGAAGACGGAGGGAGATACCGACTCCTGTAGAACAATAAGATACCCCCTTCAAAGTTCAGTCACTCGCGACGACCCTTCGCTGCCTGCCAAGTGGGTGGTGACACAAACAGTTTGCCGCTTCGTACTTTTCCTCTGTCTCCTATTTGTGTTCTACTACTACCATCATTACTATGACTACTAGTAGTAAGAGTACTACTATTCTTCTTTCTGTTTTCCATGTATTCCTTACAGGATACCCTTTATAAAGCGTAGTATAGTGATAATAACAATGGCTGTGGTAGTAAGAAGGCAGCTAGCTAGTCGTACGTCGACAGGCATCCTGTCTTGTCGCCCACTTGCCTGCGTCCAACAAGACTCGGATACTTCAGTGGTCAATTCTGCCGCGAACAAGGATTCAAATCGTCGTTTCCAAGGGTCATGATAAGAAGACATCTACAACCTCGCCTTGGGCAACCCATCAACTCCAGCAGACACCCCACGAACCCTCCCAAGAACCTCATCCATCACATCCCCCAACAACCTCATCGCAACCTCCCCAACCTGATGATGCAACACAACCCTCTTCCCATCCAACCTGATTCCCCTCCGCCTCCCAGCCTCATTCCACTGCTTGACACCCACCCCGCAACCCCGGAGATCCAACCAGACCATATTCGTCTCAACAGGCTTCAACAGCACCCCGCCCCTGGAAACCCACATCCCCCCGACCTCGGCCGCCATCACACGACTCCTCCCCAACACGCCCCTCACATCCCTCGTCCCGGGACCAAAGTTCTCGAGAACAGCCTGCCGCGCCGCGGCGGCGAGGACGCCGGCCTGTCTCATCCCGCCGCCGATACTCTTCCGCATCCTTCGCAGACGCTTGATCAGCTCCGCGGAACCAAGGACCATGGCGCCCATCGGCGCGGCGAGGTTCTTGCTGAAATCTAGCGTGAGCACATCACAACACCGTCCAAAGTCCTCCAAGCTGCCCGCGCCAGCCGAGACAGCTTCCCATAGCCTCGCGCCGTCCATGTGTACCGCAATCCCCCTCGCGGAAGTCCACTCCCTGATCCTCCTCATCTCCACCAGCGGAACAACGACACCCGAGCACGTATTCTCGATACTCACCACCCGCGTGGGGCATTTATGTACGTCATCCGTCAGAACGGCATGTTTCTCGATATCTTGGAGTGTGAGATAGAGTCCGTTGCGCGGCCGGATCCCCTGGACCATGGCGCCCGAGAGGTGGGCCACGCCGCCGGCTTCCCAGTGGAGTATGTGCGCGGAGGCGTCGGCGAGGACGGCGTGCGGGGGTTGCGTGAGGAGGGTGCGGAGGGCGAGTTGGTTTGCCATTGTGCCGGTGAGGACGAAGGCGGCGGCGGCGTGGCCGCAGGTTGCTGCGAGGGAGGTTTCGAAGCGGGAGGTTGTGGGGTCTTCGGAGTAGACGTCGTCGGAGAGGGTTGTGTGGGTTATTGCGGCGAGCATTGTGAGGGAGGGGGTTGTGATTACGTCGCCTGGAGAGGGTTTGGGGCTTGGTTAGATGAGTAGGTATTGGGTTACGGGAATAGAATTGAGATGAGGAGCGGTGTTTGGGATGGCCGGGGGTGGAAAGGGGGTTGACGTACTTCTGAAGTCGAAGGCGGCACCGGTCTGCTGGGGAGAGCCCCAGAGGATAGGGGCATTCTCGTCGTCGGGTGTCATGATGAGGATTTCGTCGAGTTTTCAGTTGTCAAGGAATGGTGCGCAGTTGCTAGCTGTTGTTGAAACCAGAGCAGGCTCCCAGAGCCCTCGCATGAGTATTACCAACTCGAAGCAAAACAGCGATGAGGAGCAGGCACAGGTTTGCTTGTTTGATCTGTCCTGCACGGTGGGATCCCTCGACGGCTTTTACGCACGTGTTATTGTGGAAGCCTTGGCCGGGTTCTGGTGGTGATTATAAGAGTAGCGATATTGCTGTTCATGCCTCGACGATCAATCTGACCCGAACTGTAGATTTCATCACGAGATACCTAGGTCTAGAATCTCTACCGCTCCAAATTGTGAGCAACAAATGGGACACATCCGTCTGCATTCATCGTGGCGTTTCTATAAGGATTCTTACAGAGAGGTTGTTTGTACAACCATCCCGTATCAACCGCGCGCGCGCGTGTGTGAGGGAGGGGGGCTAGACGAGAAAGGGCATGTGTTTGTATGTAAGTGAGAGAGATGTCATGCAGTCAGCTCAGGGCCCATCTCAATCACAGCGCCTTCGCCTCGTCAAATCAGCGGGAAATGGTGCATATTAGAGGAGAGGCCCTGGGCTAGTGACAGACCAAGTCAGCTTAACAAGTCGATTCTAGAAGGTATGCTCGACATGCCTCGGACTCGAGTCCAGCCCCCCCATTGGCTCAAACGGATCGTGAGCACTGTATATGTTGTGATGTCTGTCGACGATTGGACCGTTGACGCGAAGGGCCCCAAATCCAAGTGCTTACGGCAGATGTAACCCGTCTAGGAATCTCACATGCAGCAAATAGTTTGCTTTCCTTGTTGGTCCTTAATCGTCTTCCCGTTCGTGATTTGTAGCAGCTTTCACGATCTCTAAAGGAGTTCTCTGGCTTTCCTTGGAAATCCTGGGGCTGAGTTTTCCTTCGCCTGCTTTCGCCTCTTCCGAGTTAGCAGGGCATTTGTTGGCATTGTAGGATTCTTGTTGAATATGTTTTGATGACCAAGAAGAGGATTAGAGAAGGAGGGCTGGTGTTTCTCTTGGCTGGATGGAGGTGCCTACAATTTGCAGAGAAAATGATACTCCGTCGTCGATCAGCGGTGTGGGATATAAGCCGGTAGCCGGAAGCATAATGCAGTCCCCCAAAAAGGGGGGAGACGACGGTATTGTACTGGCGTCCATTCTACGAGTCCTCTCTTCGTAGCAATTGCTTTTCCAGTCATTTTACTATACTCAACCGCCTGTCTAGATCATACTCATCTAACATCACTAACCTCCACCCCCCAACTTCCTTCCCGTCCCCTTTTCCCCTTGCCGCGTCTCCAAACATGGTCCTCGAGTGCCACTACCCCCAGGAACCGACGGAGTCCGACGTCAAGAAAATCGCCGCCTCATCCTGCGCCGTTGTCGAGAAGACGGAGGCCGATACGGATGAGACTGCGGTCCTAGCACGGTACGGGGTCGAGAGGCGCGCCGACGGCTTCGTCAACTGGCAGCGGGACTGTGCTACGCACCCGAGGAACTGGACTACCAGACGGAAGACGTTTGATACCACGGTCATCATTCTGTTTGAGCTGTACACGTGAGAGAGAGAGAGAGAGAGAGAGCTTTTCATCTGTTTTCCCTCAATGTTTGTTTTGAATCCATGTATAGCTGACGGGTTGATAAGAACGATTATAAGTACAACTGGGGTATGTGATTCTACTACATTACCTTGTCTTATGTTACCTACCATCCATACCCACCGGTCCCTGCCGAGGCGATCCGTGTCGCGGGAGGAACCGAGCGGCTGGGAGAGATTCCTGGGTCGTTGCTATATCAAAACCCCCTATACCAAAGTCCCTTATACCTACATAGCAACATCGACATAATCATCAGATACAAATCAAAGACAAACGATATGCTGACAAGGCTCTGCCCCCATACAGGCTGTCGCCGCAACAGAGGCCGCTCCAGACTATGGCCTTAGTCGCCAGGTGTCCCTGGTGGGCTTCACCCTAATGTAAGAGCTCCCTCCCTCTCTCTCTTAAATCATTTCCTCCCTGGAAATGAATACTCACAACAAGGTGATAGGTACCAACTAGGCCAAGCAATAGGCGGCTTCCTCATCCCCCCCTTCTCAGAGCTCTTCGGCCGCCGCCTCCCCTACCTCATCTCCTGTGCCGCCTTCTGCCTCGCCAGCCTCCTCACCGGCCTAGTCCACGCCCCCGCGGCGGTCTACGCGGGCCGCTTCGCCGCAGGGCTGGCCTCCGCCGTGCCGTCCGTCGTCATCGCCGGCAGCGTGGAGGACATGTTCAACACGAAGCGCCGCGTCTGGATCATTGTCCTCTGGAACGCGGGGACGACCGTCGGGCTGTGCTTTGGCCCCGTCTACGCCGCGTACATCTCCGAAGCGGTCGGGTGGCGGTGGATCTTTTATAGCGCGGCCGTCGTGACGGCGGTGCTTCTTGTGGCCATGTTTGGGATCAGGGAGAGCCGGCCTAGTATCCTGCTGGGGGCCATTATCAGGAAGATTCAGAGGGAGACGACGGTGCGGGAGCTGGCGTGGCATAACCCGGATGAGGCGCGCGACTGGCGGGCCTTGGTCCGGATCAGCGTCCTTCGACCGGGGAAGATTTTGCTCACGGAGCCGTTGGTCATTATGGTGGCGCTCATATCGGCGTCGTCGTGGGGTATGATCTACCTTTTTACCGAGTCGCTTACCGTGGTCTACGTCTCGCTCGGGTTCACCAAGACGCGGGCGTCTCTGCCGTTCCTGGCCATCGCCGTCGGCGTCATCTTCACGTTTCTCCCTCGCTTGTGGGATATGAAGGTCGTCCGGGACCGCCAGCGGAAGCAGATTCCCATCCAGCCGTAAGTGACTCATGTACCCTTCCCTTCACCGTGATCTCTCATGGCTGATGAGTCCCTATTCCTTGACCAGAGAGGACAAAATCATCGGCTTCGCCTTCGCCGCCCCGGCACTCGCCATCGGACTGGCGTGGTTCGCGTGGACGGTGCCGCCGCTGGTGCCGGGCGTCCACTGGGCGGTCCCGACGGCGTCCCTCGTGCTCGTGGGCTTCGCGGTCAACGAGACGGCGCACACGCTGAGCGGCTACCTCGCGGACTCGTACCTGCTCTACTCGGCGTCGGCGTTCTCGGGTCTCGCGCTCGTGCGAGCCGTCGCTTCGGGGCTGACGCCGCTCGTGGCGCACGAGATGTACGCCGGGCTGAACGCCAACTACGCGGGCACGATACTGGCGGGGCTGGCGGCCGCGTTCTGCGTGACGCCGTGGGTGTTTTTCCGGTTCAGCAAGAGGTTGAGGCAGAGGAGCCCGTTTGCGCGATTTAGTTTGGAGACGCATTACTTGACCAACGTGGAGGAGAATTAGTAGATCACGGTTGATGTTCAAAAAAGGCGATGGAGAGAGGTGAGAGTGTCGTTTGATGTCTAGCAAAAATCACAGTTTGGGCTTAGTCAACCGGCGTTGACGTGACCATCGAGGAGGGAAGATCGTCGTCGCCCGAGTTTCGACAGGGTTGGCTGCGGAGGATGGGGCACCTTATTCGGTGGGAACCAGTGGGGAAGGCGTTTGTGGTTGCTGCGACGAACATGTGTTTGCGGTGTTTTGGTCGATTCCATAAAGTGAGGTCGATAATCATACGGCCCACGAACTATACGCTTCCTGACAATCAAGCATTAGTGTCAATGACCAGTCGCCCAACGTTCAAGTGACGCCTGGATGTTCTCTTGGTGTCCAGAATAAGGTCTTCTATACGGAATACCCCGTAGTCAGCTAGCCATTGGCAACTCAAAGTGAGACAGGATGCTCGGGCCATTGTAGCATGCATTCTGCATAACCCGGTAAAGCCACAAGATTCTCGATCTCGCCCGAGACATGCTATAGAGATGAGAGACTAGAGTTCTTTCCTCCCCTGGCCGGTCTCTGACGTGGGCTCTTTGTTCTGGACGGGTAATCCATAGGTACTGCATGCCAACAGACATTCCTGACATGCATTTCCTGTGGATGTTGTTGTATCCCCTTTTCCCTTTCAGGTTTGTCCTCCCTTGGAAGAGAGACTCTGGCCTGGGCTTTTGCGTTGCGCAAAGACCAGCTCGCGGGTTGAGAGTGAGACTGCGACGGGGCTAGCGCATTAAAATAGCAAATTTGAGGAATATTAGCGAAGAGGCGGCGTTACCATGTGCGTGTTTGATGAGGAAGCGAAAGAGGCCGGTGTCAGACCACTTTGTAAGGTGACTAAGGTACCTTGGTCCTTGGGTACGGAGTACTTTGTATCCTTTGGGCTCTGCCATCCTCCACATTTCGTGACAGTTGGCGGACGTCATAATCGCCCATCCTTGGTCCCGGATTCGCTTCCCTCTTTAATGTCGTGGTCTGGGGATTTGTGAAGTCGGGGCTGGGAAGGATCACTTTGCTGCCTCCGTCGACAGTCGGACACAAACAAGAGCACGTGGAATTGGAGGAAGGAAAGCTGTACCTTCATGTCCGAGATTGTTTGGTGGAATCCCGGCTACTGCGTATTTAGGGAAAACCATGAGTGTCCGGATGGTACCTTCCCGCTCCGCTGACACCGCCGACCAAATTCGGTAACAACAGAGTACCTACCTACCTTACCACGCTGATCCCCGCTGCTAACCGGCGACGAGACGGAAAGGGAAGGCCTGGAAAGGGACGCCAGACATGTCTTTCAGTGTTGCAACTTGCATGCCTGGGTCCTGCATCAAGTACAGTGGCCACGGCAGGCAAAGGAAACCCCCGCAGCCGAACTTACAAATTGGGAACAACACCGCGGCAGTCTAAGGTACTTCAGGGCCGTCAAGGGAAATGGGACAGGTCACTGAAGGAGAGTCAGAAAATGAGAGGGAAAAAGGACGAGACCAGACAATTTGGGCTGAGTTGGAACAAGGCAAGCAATGCCCTCAGGTTACAGGCTTACAGCCCCTGCGCCTGCCCAATGAAAGAACCCCAAAAGGCCCCAGCGCGGGTGCCCGAATTTTTGGCTTCCGCTTGCCAATCCCACACCAGTGGACCACTACGGAGTGCCTGGGCCCACACTCCCCCTCGCACCTCCCCCTCCAAAGTGCGGTGCTTTTGGTCACTTTCGGTCATTTTGGGTGTGGTTTGGGTGGGAAGGAAGTGGAAAGTGGGACGGTGGGAGGGAAAAAAAGTGTCCGCTGCCCACAGCCATGTGAATGAAAAGTCACTCAGGTCGCTCTGGCTGACATGGCCTGGCCCTCTCGTTGGTCCGCTCACCTTGGGCCAGCCACTGTCTTACTATGGTACCTACCACTTGTACCTACATTGCACACAAACCCCCCTGTACCTAGCCTGTGGGTGGCCTGTCCCGACCGAAGGAGGAACGGCTTGGGCGGGCTGAATTTTCTTGAATCTGTTAAACCTTGGAGCCGGCCTGTTTCCATTCGATCCCTTCTCCTTTCCCTTTCTTCAACAACACCATTTGGGTGAATGCAACCACTCCTCCCTCTGACAATGCCTTGTTGACTGACCGACTACTCAAGAAACCCGACCAAACACCAATGCCTAGTAGAAACGACACTTACGACATCACTTGCTCATTCTTCCGCCGCCAGATGCGCCGAAACCCGAGCCACCAAAACCTCGAGAGAAACTACAATTCTGACCCCCGCGACGATCCCGAGCGACGACGAGGCACGATCTCCGTGCTTCACTCCTATCCATAACCTTCCTACCAAAGTGACGCCCACTACTGGTATAGGGCGCGACCGGGACACCGACGCGCGCCCCTCGTTTACGAGCAATCCATACTTCTATACGGAGCGGCCACCTTAAATCCTTCCCGTAAACCACCACCACCACCCGAACCATGATTGCCAAGGCGACGCCCGCACTGAACACGGTGCGCGGCTTCCAGAACACCCCCGTCACCTCCGGCGACGAGGATTCCGACTACGGCGTCTGCGCTACCCCGCCTCTCTCCGCGAAGCGCTCCGGCCGCACCGCCTTCATCGACGATGTCGTCAGCGCCAACTGCAGCCCCAACATGCGTGGGGCCTCCTCTCCTGCTGTCTCGGGCATCGCCAAGCTGCGCTTGCAGATGGAGCCTCTCAGCTTGGACAACTCTTCCCGAACGAGCACCTTGACCCTCAACGGCAGCAACGGCAGCAACGGCCACGGCGGCCTTTCCAAGGGGTTCGGCATCAGCAGCGCTGTCATGAGCCGCTGCGGGAGCCAGGACGGCAGCCAGAGCGAGGCCGGCAGCGAGCGTTCCGAGAACGGGTCTACAAGCTATGAGGTTAACCTGGAACATGACTACGTCGACGAGAGCGTGCGAGAGCGGAACGGCCACATTGTGCCCATCGAGGGCAGCAAGGACGTCCAGCGTAAGATGACGGCCGACGACTTTGAGCCCCTCCGATGCCTTGGAAAGGGAACCTACGGTACCGTGCTTCTCGTCAAGCAGCGCAACACCGGCCGGCTTTACGCTCAGAAGCAATTCAAGAAGGCTTCCCTTACCGTGCACAAGAAGCTCATCGAGCAGACCAAGACGGAGCGCCAGATCCTTGAATCGGTCAACCGACACCCCTTTGTCGTCAAGCTCTACTATGCTTTCCAGGACCACGAGAAGCTGTACCTGATTCTCGAGTACGGCCAGGGTGGAGAGCTGTTCACTCACCTGAGCACCGAAAAGATGTTTGCCGAGCCTGTTGCTGCGTTCTACATGGCAGAAATGCTTCTGGCCATCTCGCACCTGCATAGCACCCTGGGTGTCGTGTACCGTGACTTGAAGCCCGAAAACTGCCTGCTGGATTCCGAAGGCCATCTGCTGCTCACCGATTTTGGCCTTTCCAAGGTTGCGGTCGATACTTCAGAGGACCACTGCAATTCGATGCTCGGAACTGTCGAGTACATGGCCCCCGAGGTCATCCAGGGACAAAAGTACGGAAAGGCGGTCGATTGGTGGTCTTTCGGCGCGCTGGGCTACGACTTGATGACTGGTAATCCTCCCTTCCGCGGCGGCAACCATGCCAAGATTCAGCAAAACATCGTCAAGCAGAAGCTCGTCATGCCGTACTTCTTGAGCCCCGACGCCAAGGATCTCCTGACGCGCTTGCTCAAGAAAGACCCCAAGAAGCGCCTGGGAGCCAACATGCCCAAGGACCTGCAGGTTATGAAGGGCCACCGCTTCTTCAAAAAGATTGACTGGAAGAAGCTCGAAGCCAGAGAGGTTGAGCCGCCCATCCAGCCCATGATCACGGACCCCGAGCTCGCCGAGAACTTTGCGCCCGAGTTCACCGACTTGTCCCTGAGCCCCGTCATCACGGCCAAGGACCCCTGGAGCGCCATGTCGGCCAAGGAAGATGACCCCTTTGGCGGCTTCAGCTTTGTTGCGTCGAGTAGCATGCTGGAGAGCCACGCGTTTCGATTCACCACTGAGGTCTAGACTGCATTGTTCATACACATCATCAGCAGCGTTAGACGAAAGCGTATAGAGAGACAAGAGGTGGTGAGATGTGAAGGAGATTCGGGAGTGCTTGGCGAACGGCATGGGAAAAGTCTGGGAGCCTCATTGTGAATTGGCGCGACCACTGGACGCGTGCAGTACGGAGTTATTGAAGCGAAGCAAGACCGTAGAATTCTGGGCACTGAGGGTTTCCAGTCCTTCACTACCTGGTTCGGTCTACCTAGCTCGGTCTATGGGCGACGGAATAGCGAAAGATCGACATTGGGGTCTGTTGTTTTTCTCTGGCGCATCGCTAGTACGTAGTTTTACCTTTTTTTCTTTCTTCGGCAGTCGTTGCACGAGGCATTGTCACGATAATATATACGAGCTTTTCTTGTTTGACTTTTTCCTTCTCCCCTGGTCTGTATCTTTCACCGACAGGCGCGGACAAGCTTTCATTGCTTTGCAATCGAGTGGCTGGGTTTCGTCCATGTGAATTGGCACTTTTCAAGCGTCGTCTGTCCATAAGGTAACGTAAAGTCAACCGCGCGCGAGCGCTTGCTTGGCAAATCTACGGAACCCATGGGGGGCATGTAACGTGTTTTTATCTTGTGCTCCTGGACGGATACCTGTACTCGCTGGGTCCCAGAGCCTTGGAACCTATTGGCGGTAATCTGAACGTTGGAAAGCCATGACTAGCTGCTAAGATTCCCAAGACCCCGGTGGGGTCTCTCCCGGGGGGGGGGGGGGGGGGAAGATTTGTTACTTGGCGGTTTTTTTGCAAAATATCTTTCGCGTTATTGACCAAAAAGTCTGTCCATCCTTGCCCCCGAATAAATAAACACCAAGAAAAGTAAAAGATGGGATTACGCAAGCTCTCACTGATGATATTCTATCTTGCTTTTAACCTAGAAGCTAGTCTGTGGCAGAGGCTTACCTTGGTATATCGTAAATCAATGATTTGGGGATGTGCTTGTAAAGCCCAACTGCTCCCGATTCCGAATTACTGCGTTGCCTTCCTTGCCTTTGGCTTGGTCAACGTCATCTGCTGATGGGCAGGAGGTTTTGGTACACGGCAACTTCAATCCTTTAGGATCGATTTACGCAGATGAAGAAGAAACAAGTAAAAAGATGGGCCGAGTGCTCTGGAGAATATACGGTGTTCCGCGTGGAGGGAGGGGTGCATATGGCGATTTCCTAGGACTTCGGATTGCTGGTTGTGAGGTACTGAAGCATGTTGCCGATGCAATTCGGGGCATATTTTCTGGCTGCTGGGCTGCATGATGAAGGATCTCGTTACTTTGGCATCGAATAAGTGTGCGAGTTGTTTCATGAGCGAGGGAGGGCGAGGGCGAGGGCCATGTCCTGCGCGATGCTGACGAAACCAATATCGGATGGTTGCGATGTCGTTGATGCTGAAAGGCTCTTTGCATTGTTTTTGCTAGTCGTCCCTTTCTTGGTTGTCGCGCGACGACTGAGAAAAGGTCAATAGCGTAGAGTGCAGATCAGGTCCATGTTTGACCTAATTGCCAATCTGTTCGAATCAGACGAGTAAGTCTCTTACCAGGGCAGGATTGTTCGTTGGAAAGTTATGACCACGTTGGATTTGGAAGAACAGGGCGAGACTAGATAGAACTTGGCGTCATTTGCGTGAATCTCGTACTCGCTTCATTCCTGACTGATAGATAGCACCTCAGTCACGGAAACTGATTTGCGCTCAACGAAGCTTAGACCAGGCTGACAGTGACCTGGGCAGAATGGTCGCTGCTGGGGATTCTGGCGGTGTAGTCTGGTAGTGACAGGCATTCGTGATCGAACCCTGAAAGCTACGCTGTTGATAGAGTATGAAAATAGTAAACGATCGGTCGACAAGACCAGTGCATCTGGCGGAACTATCGGACCCCGGAGCGCCAAATCGAACAGCGTCTTAGTCCGAATACAGACTGAGGCAACCGGGAGATTGGGATCCGTGATGCTACATTGTCCTGGGAACTTTTGACCCAACGTAGAAATAAGGTAGTCGGCTAGCTTGCTCGTGGGTCATTGGACTCGAAATTGTTTTTGACACTTGCTCAGCCTCCACAAGCTCTGCCCTAAACAAAGGCTAGACGGCATGTCGTGTGATTATAAGCAAATCGTGGCAGTCGTGGTTGCGGAGGTGGAGTCGCTCCGGAGCAACTCATATACGGGGCGGGATGATAGTTGCACCATCGCCTAGGCTCAGCGTTGCAGTGGACCTTTTTTCCCGACTCGCGGGCGACCCAGTTAGTGCAATTGCTGTGTAAGACTGTTGGTCAACCTGGGGAAACGGGAGCAAAAACCTCCCATCGGCAAGGCGAAGCCCCGCACTCGGCCCCACACCGGTAACGGCTGCCGTATTGGGTCATCGAGATCGTTGCGAGAAGCCCAAATTCGCTGAGTGCTAGAGTGTTATAACAACATAGAGATCTTCGGGGAATTAAGTTTCGCTGGCGGCGTCGTGGCAGTTTGGTACTGGCCGGGGGATCTTGCAGCATGGCGAAGCTGGCCGCCGGTGCTCTTGGAAAAACTTTGCGTGTCGTAACGAGTTGCCTTCATGGTGTTGCTGTCTTGTCGCAGCATCATCTGACACTATCCATACTGGGAGCATCAGCCATCCCGCTGCTGTATTGAACCCTGTTTGGGCTACAGTGACCAGGAAGTTCCTGGCCTATTCGGGCTTTGTATAGGTATGCGTCCATTAGATGTTGGAAGTACCGATGGTGCAAAATGCAGCCGATGAATGTAAGTCCGACTCTGTGATGCTTAGATTCCTGCCAAGTCAAGCCTGTTGGCTCACTCACTGACTGTGGCAGATCGAGCCTGTGAATAGAGGTACTAGAGATGACGAGTGCTGTCAAGCAGAAGCCATTGGGATGCTTCTGGCTTGGCGACGCGGTTGAAGCGTGGGGTAGATCCCGGAGCCACACCCAGTGACGCAACTTTGAAGCTGCTTTCAGACTCTTCACTGGCAGCGCCCAGGTAGGTTTCGATGTCTTTGAATTTGATCCACCTCGGTGTTTTGTGTATTGTTTGTAACCTGCTGAGAAATACTCGGCCGTTACTGGCCGTAGGCGGAGTTCAGGCTTGCAGCTTTGACACAAACAGACCTGCAAGTCAGCCGGTATCCATACCTAGCTCCACGAGATGGAACGCAATACTCAACTTGCCTGTGTTGCAGATGATGAAGGGCTGTGCCGCATCCCAATGACACGACTTTCGGTCGTCCAAAGTAGACAACAGTCATCTTGGGAATGCAAAATTCGGATTGAAAGGCATTCTTACCTAAGCCAAGGAACAGTGGGAACCAGCAAATGCCTGCGCCACGTCAGACGAATAGACAGAACTGTATTATTGTGAGCTCATACCTTGCAGTAGCAAAGTTTCATCTTCTGGACATGGCGTCGAAAGCGTGCGGGTCGCAAGGCTCAAGTTCAAATCCTTCCGAGTTTGGCAAGGAGCTTGGTAGCTCTGGTCATCCTAGTAGCGGTTCAGCAAAGTCTAGACTGATGGTATCAACCACTGTCGGCGATCTGCTATCCTTCCGGCCCGTCTCTCAGTACTCTGCCCGCTTTCTCTAGCGGGCAACAATGGAACAAAACATGGAAGCATTGCGTGGCCTGCGTCGGTGCTGATCTTTTTGTGCCACTGGTGCCGTATTAGTGACAAGATTTGGCAAATCGGAACGGGTGTGCGGATGGTTAGTTGGACGGTTTGATCGTCTTTGCTTCCCTAAATCTGATGCGCAGGCTTCACCAGTCCGTGAGCCTTTCTACCACCCACAAGGTCAAGCAGAGACCGACTTACACGTGGTTGGGTGTCGGAAGGGTCGTAATCCTCGGCCAGCGGAAGACGAGCCTTGACCGACGATAGGAGCTTGAAGCATTCCAAGGATGAGGCCTCGCGGGAACGAAAATAGGATTGCCCATCCTTTCGGCGACAGTGAAGGCATTGGGCTGAGACGCAAGAGCAGGGGGGAGGTTAAGAAATGCCGAAAGCTGCGGCTACCGTCAGATAAGCCCCTTCCTTGGCGACAACGTACATCGTCAGCAAGCCTTCTGGAAAATACTTGGCGATAAGCTACAGGCGTACATTGTGAGTCGTGAGAGTGGTCAGCCTTGATGTTGAGGGATTGTAGATGAGCACAGATCTCGAATTGGCGCGTACCTTGGTGATGCCGACTGAGCACAGGTCTCGCGGCATGTTCTAGGCACTTTCCCTTTTGATACACCGGATTTTCTTAGCAGGCGTCATGAGAAGCAAAGACCCGAACTGAACTTGCCGTGAGTTAAAGGTACTTGGATGAGGTGCTATCTGTGAACATACACAGCATCTCAGCCAACATGCAGGTGCATCTCGGCCTGTCTCTCCCAACTTCCCAAGTGCATCATGCGCTTTCCAACAGCTGTCACAGTATTGGACAAGGCGCATGGTGACGATGGATGCAACCCGAAGGCGCGGCTTGGTGCGCTTACCCTAGCGATCGGTGCTCCGTTCCACATCTTTTGTCTTTCCTCTGGTTCAATTCGCCATCTACGGTCCAGGCCAAGAAAACAACATGGCATGCTTGCGTATGCTTTTCTCACTCCCCAATGTCCGATATTTCTTCCCTTTACTGTGTAATACGGACAATCCCAAGAAACACTGTTTCTGACCAAGGCTTATGGCAGCAGACACCTCAATCACCCGCGCGCTATCTTTTTGCCTCCGGGAGGCTGAGCCCGCCAAGCACGTCCAATGGTCTGTTCACCTTGACTTTCGCTCTCTTCCCAACTTGCCAGCATAGTCGTTGTCTTTCAGCAAACTACGCACGCGCATATGCAGGGTATCGAGAGCCATCACCGCCAGGCGTTTCGTTTGCAGTTTCTCTTCGCCTGCCAGGCCTACAGACTACAGGTACCTACTCCCCTACCCTCTTCTCTCATCTTGTTAGAGTTCGTGCCGAACAACTACTGCCCACGGCCCCAAGAAAGACCAGCAGAAACACCCTGCCAACCCGCTAGTCCCATCTGCGTAGAACTCTGCTGCTTCCGGCCAGGATGGTCCCAGCCCGGACCCTTCGACGGCCATGCTCTGGATGGCATCTGATTGTTCACACAAGTTTGCGACTCCCTTACTGGGCCAGCAAGCGGAACTCTCTCTGGCCTACTCGTCACTGACTACCTTGTAGATGCCAACTATTCATGCCACTGTGTCACAGCAGGTTCGGTCAAGGACTCAATGGGAACCAGATGCTCTCTCCCAGCGGCCCCCGGACGGACCATATCCTTTCCAATTCTGTCTGACACCCTAAAAGAGAGTAGACCGCATCCAAGACACGCTGCAAGGAGTCAAATTTACGACCAGGGGCGCCTGTGGCTGATTACCTAGTCCATCTTCCCATTTTTTAGGCTTTACTGGCCCGGGGAACGTGTTGAACCGATCGGGTCCGTCGACGTGGGCCCAACTCCCAGTTTCCCCCATGGCCGGCTACCTTTCTCTCCGACACGAAGCTACCTACCTACCTAGCTACCTACTTTCTGTGCTATCAAGCCTACAGCAGCTCCTCATCTGCGTGGCTGTGTTAGCCAAGATGTGCCGCCAGACACATGCTGATCCCTAGCCCTCTCTAGAGCGCCTCTAACAGAATTCACCGATAATACCTGCCAGCTGAGTGTTCCGATACAGCCTGCAGCCGGCCATCCTATGCGTCTGTTACAAGTGCCCCCAGGGGTCATCCCCTGCGTGGCTGGACCTATTCGAGAAAGCCAACTGTCACTGCCCGCACTCCCCCAAGCAGAGATCAAGAAACGAGTGGGTGGGCGTGAAGGATGGAAAGGCATGGGCCAGGGTCTGTCTGTCAGAACACACTCGAGAAGTAAAAAGGGGATGACTTTGTGCTAGTGTATGAAGACGTCGTCATTTCCAGCGCCAAGACCTCTCATGGAAGACGACATGAGGAAGAGCAAGTGCCAATAAACGCAAATCATAGCAAAACGGTTGGCAAAGGGAGCAAAGCCACGGTGAAAGCTCCGGCCCCTCTCTGTTCGCCGCTTTGAACCTGGCATCCGAACTGCACATCTCCGCCATCGACTACCACGGAGCTGGATTGCCGTCGCGCGTCCGTCACATCTTCATAAGAACCCCCGGAGCTCCCACCTTTCCACCACCCCTTGTTGTCTCCAACTGCCGTGTCACTCCAACGTTCAGTCCGGAGCCTCCTTGCATATCAACATACACACACCAAGTTCGTATGTTACATCCCGGCCCCCACTCCACCCCGATGTCTTTGATTTAACATCCTATGAGGCCTCCGTCGTAGTCTCTGTGAAGTTGTTACTAACAAACCCAACAGTAACGACCACGATTTACACGCCTTGTCACCGAACACGATGAAGGCCTTCGCAGCTTCCTCTCTCGCGGCCGCGCTCTGTATGTCATAGAGCAAGCACCCTCTCCCAGGCCACCGATACTAATAACGTCAACAGATGCGGCCACAGCCTCAGCCGATGCCATCCAGGCTTGCCCCAACACCGATGTCTGCTTCCGCGTCGCTGTTCCGGCGGCTTCATCCAGCTCCGGCAGCGGCAACATGTACTTCCAAATGTCTGCTCCGACCAGCTACCAGTGGATTTCCCTCGGCACGGGTTCGTCGATGTCCAACGCCAACATGTTCTTGATGTACGCCGACGGAAGCGGAAACGTCACCGTCAGCCCTCGTACTGCTCGCGGCCACAACATGCCCACTCTTTCTTCGAGCACCACCCTCGAGCTCCTCAGCGGCTCCGGCATCGAGAACGGCAAGATGGTCGCCAACGTCCGCTGCACTAACTGCGCATCCTGGAGCAGTGGCTCCATGTCCCTGAACTCGGCTACCAGCTCCTGGATCGCTGCCTGGAAGTCGGGCAGCGCCCTCAACTCGGCCAGCACCAGCCAGAGCATCCAGCAGCACGACGAGCACACCAACTTCAACCTCGACCTCACCCAGGCGACAGTCCAGACCGACAGCAACCCCTTTGCGAGTGGTTCTGGAAGCAGTGGCAATGGGAATGGCGGCTCCACCAGCGGTGGCGGTGGTGTTGTATTTAATGGAGGCGGCGGCGTTTCGTCCAAGGTCCTCCTCGCCCACGGCATCATAATGACGATCGTATTCGTTGCCCTTTACCCCATCGGAGCCATTCTCATGCCCTTGGTGGGCAAGTGGATGGCTCACGCTGCCTGGCAGTCGGTTGCCTTCTTGCTCATGTGGGCCGGATTCGGCACTGGCTACGCTTATGCTCGCGACAACGGTTATGTGAGTTGCTTTTTTCATTTTTTCGTGAACCGGGAGACTATACTCCCTCGGGCCGTCTCCAAGACCCTCTAGACCCGGACATCCAGGATCGTAGTGCTGATACCGCGTAGCTCTTTGCACAAACCCATACCCTGCTGGGTACCGTAGTTGTTGCCCTCCTGGCCGTGCAGCCGTTCCTGGGATACGCCCACCACGCCTACTACAAGAAGTTCCAGACCCGCGGTGTTGTCAGCCACGTCCACATCTGGTTCGGTAGAATTGTGATGATTCTCGGCATTATCAACGGTGGTCTCGGTCTCGAGCTCGCTAGCTCGTCCCGGGCCTATGTCGCTGCGTACTCCGTGGTTGCTGCTATTCTCGGAGTTGCGTGGATTGGAGCCGCCGTTTGGGGCGAGATGCGCAAGTCCAAGCGTACCGTCAAGCGCGAGCAGAGCCACGAGTCTCCGGATTCCCAGCAACGCATCCCTTATCGTCAAAAGAGATAAGCGCCCGGACCGGCCTGGCCTGACCAGGCAAGGCTTGGGGGTTTACTATGGACGACGGCAAACATACAGAGAAAAAGACTAGGTGATACAGAGATTAGTCTCTAATTTGTTTTGTATAATCTTTATACCCAGGTGGCAGGTTGCAACCCCAGCCATGCCTACGGGAATTCCGGGGCCGCGGTATGAAGAGACGGCAGTCTGGGTAGAGCACGGAGTTTGTGGCGTTGTAGGTGATGGGTTTCTTCAATGATAGCTTGTTCAACATCGATCACTTGATCTTAGCCTCCGAAATTTGCATGTGTGATTGCATAGCCTTGCAGGCCTTGAACATGAGCCCTCAATTAGGTGTATGCACCTTGAGCTTTGCAATCCCCTTTCTTACAAGTTACACTGGTAATATAGCAAAATGAAAAAGGAAAGATGAGACTAAATAACACCGTAAGAAGTAAAGAGATCGTTCCAGCTATAAGCTTCTTCAACGCCCTTCCGCTTGTCCATACGAGCAAATCACCTGCATCAATCGTGATCAGGTAACATGGTAAATGACTGACGGCCTAGCCTAGCTCGACTTCAAGCTAAGCGTAAAAGAGAAGAACATGTCAATGACGACGAAAATGACAAGAGTACTAGATGTCGATGTATGAGGTCATCCACCAAAAAGTAGCCGATTGTTGCAGCTGTGAGCAGAGCTAGCCCGGATCGCGAAAGGAGCTTAGGCCAAGCTTGGTCTGAACAAAGTGTGTGGCAGTTTGAACTCTCTTGGTGTAGGTGTGCCAGCCTATGATGTCGGCGGGTGGTGGTTTGGTGGAGGGGGGACTTGACGAAACCGTTCCTTCTTGGCCGTCACTTGTCCCCCAATGACCACCTCTCATCAGCTAGCACTGCTAGCAATGGAAGCTCAGATCGATAGCAAAAGAACTTGGGCAGTGACGGTGAAAGAGCGAGCTCAGTGGGAATCTGGAAAGCGCCAATCGATCGGTCGTTCCTCACGTGATATCAGTCCACCCGCCCGCTGCTTGTTTCCCCGACCCGCTGCAGCAATGGTGTGGGAAAGTGGGGAAAGCAGAATGGGAAGGCAGGTTCAACGCCTGAGACCTGAGGCATCTAAATCGCAGCTGTCGGCTGGGAATCATTGCGTCCAACCAGAACAGAACCGGCTCACTCCAGCTTTTTACTGTCCCATCCCGTACAAAACCCTCAACCACCCGTCGTCCGCCTCCCTCCCGCCATCCCCCCGGTGTCCCCAATTGAGCCAGCCACCACCCACATATCAAGATGCTCGTCCAATTGTCCAGAGCTACTGTACGTTCCTCTCTCTGCCTCTCTCTCTTTCCGTTGTCGTGATGATGATGTTGTTGTGTTGTCGCTGTTGGCATCGGCGTCCGTTCGGACGCGCGGACCGTCGGTTGGAAATCAAGGGAAAAAACTGACGACTTCTTCCCCAAACAGCGCGCCGCTTCGGCTGTCTCTCGGCTGGCGAGGCCCAGCGCCGTCCAGATGAGGGGATTCATCGCTCCCACCGTCTCCCGCAGAGGTTCGTCCATATTTCTCCCGTCTTCCGATTTCAATTGCCCCAGAGGAGGAGCGAGGTTGCGTTCGATGCGAAAGCGTTGGCCATTCGGGTTGCCGGTGCGGCTAAGGGAGGCCAAGCTCCGAAGCTGGGGTGCGCCTCACTGTCGGATAACGATGTCGGTTACGCAAACCACTTGAACGACCTTCGTCCATCATATTCACATCGAACATCCTACACCGATCAATACCCTTCCATGTCTCCGATCCGCCCGTCGCTCCTCTTTCTTCCCCTCCCCATGCCGTCGCCGTCGTCACCGCTCCAGACTCTTGCTCCGAATGCATTTCACTAACCTGCAATCCCCGATACAGCCGACTTCGTCCAGGAGCTCTACCTCAAGGAGCTCAAGGCCTACAAGCCCATTCCCATCAAGGAGTCCGACTCTCAGGGCCAGGTCCAGACCTTCTCCCTCCCCGCCACCCCTAAGTCTCCCGAGGAGACCGACCTCGCCGCCAGCCTGAAGGAGTACGAGAGCATGGCCGTCGAGGTCGAGGGCCAGGATGCCACCGCTTCCGCCACCGGCGAGCCCGTCAAGCACGACTGGCTCATGATTGAGGAGGACGAGGAGAAGCCTCATCACTAAACCGGTTCCGGAGACCGTTTAAAAGCGTTATTGGAAAGAAAAACAAAAAAGTTTCAAAACGAACCACAACCGTCCCGGATTTCCCCCCACACCCGAAAAGATAACAACGTCATCAACCCGGAAGTGATGGGAGGGAAAAGTGCTTTTCCAACCTTGCTTCTGGGTTTGTAACCTTTGCCGCTTGCTCCGACCTACCAAAAGGAGTGGGAAACGTGTTTTGTGATTGAGAGAGGAGAGGAGGGGGAAGAGTGAGAGTGAGAGGAACCCTAGAAACGAGGGGAAAGGTGTGCTGGGAGGTGGTAATCCCGTGTATATTGTCCAACTAAACCTCGCTGGCTAGGAATGCTATTCGCATGCGCTTCAATCCTCTCGGTTCCTCTTGTCGTGAATGGCCCGAACTGACCGTTTGCGTGATTTCACCTCGACATCCTCGACCAAATCGAGAACCCACCACAACTACCACGAATCGGCAACTTTGATGCCAGAGAGTTCACGATACTGTATTCGAAGACCCTCTTGCGTTTATTTCCCAAATCGACATGCTTATGCCGCAATGCCATTGTCTCTAGCTAGGTGAAGACATTGTGGAGAACCCGGAATCTCCCGAACCGGACCAGACCAATCGTGACGCTCGCCCTAAGGTATCAGAACGATAAAAAAATAGTCACCGATCCCTCTCTCTCAACTTTTTGGTATCAAGAAACTTGTCAATACCACACACAAGTTAGCGGAACACCCTTGTCCCCTAACCGTTTCCCCAAGATTCCCTTGGATGAAGGAAAGAGTCATCGATCCCGCCCCCTCCCCCGGATCTTGTTTTCAATGCAAACTGAAGTGTGGGTTGCGTAGTTTCTGGGACAACAATCGACGTATGATCCACAACCAACACCCATATTCATGCGAACCGATGTCCATGGTCTTTCTACACATCTCTTGTATAATGACCAAAAACTCTACAGACTTGTGTGTATATTGTGTGCCGTGTACCGCGTAAATCACTTGGTTTATTTTCTTGTTGATCTCGGAGCAATCATGACTTTTGTTTGCCTCCTACTTCCAAAACGAAAAAAGGCAGTCGAGACTTACCATCTGGGACTTTGGGCTCAAATCATAAAATGTCCCTTGAAAAGGAAACAATGTTTAATCTAATCCAATGGAATGCCCCTTTTCTTTTTTTTTTCTTTTTTTTTTCTTAATTAAACGTAGTTCTTAACCTCAGTGGAGTAGATAACAGAATATGTTACTAGTCAGTGTATACTAAGTATCGCCATTTTCATTACAACTATTACTCTTAAGTATTAGTTACCTTTATTATAATCACTACCCTTATATCTTTCCTTTATCTACACTCTAAAAAGTAAACTCCTAAGAAGTAATACCCACTTTGAGATTGAAAGAGAGCATTGGTGGAAAATAAAAGTACGCGGGCATGATTTGGTGACTTGCTCTTGACACCGACTCCTCACTCATCCCCGAAGATGACCAGCAGACAGTCTGCCTTCCAAAGGCATTTGTTTCCCCCACAGAGGCTGGAGAATATGTATTTACAAATCAATGGGAAGCCAGCTAAAAAGAGCACATCACAACCACAACATCACGGTTATTGGAAGGTGGTGTCAAGAGACCTAATGCCCTTTGTGTGTCAAATGTAGCTAATTAAGCAGTTATTACAGACGGCTTTGTGTAGAGCTAATCGCCTCCTCTGCCCTCGTCTTCATGATACCCTTCGCTGGCCTCTCGCCCGACATTTGGCAATCGCTTTGTTGACCAACGGGGTTTGTATCTGGATATCTAGGCACCCTTCAAAACCCTGATGTAGTCTCCAAAGACCATGACCACAAATTGCTCCAAACGCTGAGCGTCTGCCGCAGATTGCAGTATATCCTATGGCCAGGCCAGTCCACCTCCTTGGGTACCACTCCTTTCATGAAAACATCCTCCCAAATGCAGCGATGCCTGCGGATCAGCCTCTGGTCTGATGTGCGGATGTTTTCAACGATGGCTACCAAGACCACATGTCCTTAAGGGGATAGGAAGAGTCCGCATCATCTAGATGAAGCATCGGGGTCATCAGTGTCAGCGAGCGGTATCCAGAGCCTTATCATCAAGGCATACCGTCGTTGGTGTAGTTATTATTTGTCGTGTGTAAAGCTCTTCGATTAGCTTGAAAAGCAGCATTCTGAGGGCCGATCAGGATCCGAATGTTCATCGCTTCAGCCCAAAACGCCATGTACCGATTACACCCCCCCCCCGCCTAATTATCACATGCAAGGTTTGACCGCCCTTATGCACTGAAATCCGTGAATGTTCGTTTTTTGACTTCGTAATGATGATGACCGTGTTTTTGCTTTGCAAGAGAGAAAGGCTGTGTGATGAACTTTTCTTTGCCCTCAAAATAGAACCCAAAAAATGACCCAGAAGTAAGTAGAAGAAAAAACCAGAATGCACGGTCATTAAACGTCAAAGTGACCACCACCAATCATCTGTTCTTCGTTGGTGGTTGTGCGCACAATGCCGCTCATGCGATTGCCTCTCTGGTTCATGTCCTCCAGGTCATCCCAGTCATCGTCCTGGTGGTGGGAATCACGCATCTCTTCGTCATCATAGCGGCCCTTATCTCTCATGTGATCATCAAGAGCGCTCTCGTCCACAAAGGTGAAGCCCTGGAAGTTGGCTTGCACAGAGGGTGAAAGAGGCGTCGATGTAGCGAATCCCTTGGACAGAGCAGCAGCCCTTTCGTTGAGCGAGCCATTGTTATCAAGCGCGTTGGTGAACTCGGGGTCAAAGTACGACACATCTGTGGCAGAGGTCAACTTAGGCTTGAAGGGAGGTGTGATGAGCTTCTTTGCCAGAATTTCCCAGTCAATGTCGGCAAAGAATGGGTGGCGCTTCAACTCCTCCGCATCGTCCGTCGCACCAAGTCTGTGCTTTGGGTTTCTGTTGAGCAGGCCCTTCACGAAGTTGCGACCCTCCTGCGACAAGGTGTCCCGAGGAAATCTGACCTTGCCGAAGGCGATGTTCTTATACATCTGTTGGGTGTCCTCCGCATAGAAGGGGCTCCAACCACAGCACATCTCGAAGACCAGAACTCCCAGCGACCAGAAATCCACCATCTTGGTGTACCCTGACTCGTCAAGGAGAACTTCGGGAGCGAGGTACTCGGTTGTGCCACAGAACGTGTTGGTGGTATCGTTCTTTGTCAAGTTTGCCTTTGACAGACCAAAGTCGCAAAGTGCAATGTGACCATTTGCGTCGAGCAAGATGTTCTCTGGCTTCAGGTCACGATAAACGATGTCGTTGTTGTGGAGGTGCTGAATGGCCAAGATAAGTTCTGCGATATAGAACTTGGCTCTTCGCTCATCGAACCGTCCTTCTTTCTGGAGATGCCAGAACAGCTCACCGCCAGACATGTAATCGGTGACCAAGTAAAGGTCTGATGGTGTCTGGAAGGAGAACTTGAGGCCCACGATGAAGGGCGAGTCGGACATGGCTGTCCGAACCAGGATGTTGCGTTCACCGACGGTATGGGCGACTTCCTTCTTCTGGACGATGACCTTCTTGGACAGGACCTTCATGGCATAAATGCGCTCGGTATCCTTCTTCCGGACCTGGTAAACTTGTCCAAAGGTACCCTTGCCGATCAACTTAAGAATCTGGAAGTCTTCCGGACCAAAGTGCTTTCTCTCAGTTCGCTGATAGACGGCTTCCACGTAAATCTCCCCTGTAGGAGCGTTCTCTGCCATCGTGTCGGCATGGCCCTTGAGCTGGTACCAGCCACGTACCGGGTTGCTGGAATCTCTGTTGGCCTGGAAATCGACTTGACCCAAAAACTCCTCTCCCTTGTCGGTGTGATCGTAGACGGAAATATCGACCAACATGTTCGAATTAACAACATCACTGAAAAGTCAGCCAAAACCCAAATGTTTCAATCATTGCGTTAACTTACAATTCTGCCTCGGCGTCCCACTTTGGACTGGTGAAGGATCGGCGGGAACGGTTGCGGAACGTGTTGTAATCGGATATGCTGGTGTTGCTGCTCTGGCGGCTGCGCATAGGAATAGACATGACCGGGCGGCCTGAGTCGCTGCCTTGTCTCTGAATCGGAATGCCCCCAAAGGAGGGCGCAGGGAGATTCACTTCGTCCTCCTCTTCGACGGAGCGTGGGCCTCCTGAGATGAGCTCGCTTCTCTGGAAAACGGCTACGACATAGGGGTCCTTGGCACGGCGCAGCCCTTTGGCCTCGACGATCTTGATCGTGAGCTTGCCGCGAGCAGCGGGAACTTGAGCACCGGTAGTACCGCGCCGGATGGGGGTCTGAACACCACTAGGAGGGACCGTCTCGTTGCTGCTTCTCTTGGAGGTCGTCTTCTCCTCAGCCTGAGATGGCTGCGCCGCCGAAAGCGCCCTTGTAGGAGTTGGTGGGCCGCTCTTGAATCCCGCAAACTGTGTTAGCTTCTTGAGCTGATCAACTGACGAAGAGCTGTGAAGGGAAGCGGCTTTCTGCGCTGAACCAACGTGGAAATGAATGGGGGATGTTGGTGTGATGGGCTTGTGAAGACTGGGATTTGATATGTGATGAGCATGCACAACTGAAGTTGTGACGATGCTTGAAGGTTGGGACATGAGGGTGAGACTATGGCATTTTTGCGGGTAATCTGTGACGCCTCTTTGGAGCAACGGTCGCGCAGATGAGGATGCCGCGGACCGTGATTCTCCATATCGCAACGACAGACTTCTTTTCAGAAGTCCCGCCGACGACCGTCTGGATATCGGCGGTGTCGGGTACTGATGTGTCTGAACCAGTGCCATGGACGAGGTGTGTGGTGATGATGACCGCTCTTCAGGGTGGGGGAGTGATGGGGATGTTGGTTCAGGATCGCCACAGGGCACAGCGTCCACTGAGCTGACCTGAGAAGCCTTCCCGTCCGTCTCGACTTGTTTCGTTGAGGGACCAGGAAGCGGTTGTCCTCGATTGCGATCCGACGCGACAGGGGCAGATACAGAATTGTGAGAAGAATCTGTACGAACCTGGCCGAAGTAGCTCATAATGCCCGGCAGGCGTTTGTCATGGAGGTCGGGTTGAGGGGTCGCCACCCCGGAGCGGGGCGTATCAAAGCCGATCTGATCCGCGCCATCTTCGTCAGGTGCGGCCGCGGGAGTCCTGCTGGGGTGGTTAACAGTGGGATTCATC